TATTGTGATGAGTTTAGGGATTTGGACCTTCTGACGCACAAGCTAGGGCGTAAAAAGGTCCAAAAACCTGCTTAGCAAACGAACACACCCAAGGCGAATGAGCTCTCATGGCGTTGTCGATGCTGAGAAAGCTGCACCATTCGCACCGGGACGCACACGTTGTATGCAGGCTGCTTACTGTATTCAGCTGCACGCAGTGATACACAACTTCGGACAGCTCGTCCAAATACCCCTTCCATGCAACTTTTGTCGTCACATTCTCGTCGAACATTGATTTAAAGCTTTTTTGAAGCCTTACCTTACTCTAGACACCACTATTTTCGTGTTTTCTTCTCCGCTTTTGGACTATCGTGGTCTTGATGATTCATCTAAAACATACCCTCTCACCCCTCTGAAACATGCCTCTAAACCCCAAAATAATCGCGAATCATGTCGTTGAAGTAAATGTATGAACAAACGCTTTTTCCTAAATTCTTTTTTATTATTAATATTCTTCTTCTTCTTCCTCTATTGATTTGGTCAGCATTCACACAATATGACGGACCGCCAGCTATGCCGATGATCTTAATGTTACTCCAAAGATCATGAAATCATGGTAATCAGCTAATCTAAATTAGTTTTAATTCATTTGTTCAAAGTAGTATGGCACATGACCACCTCCAAGCCGTCAAAGGAACTTCTGCTAAGAGATGAGTCCGCGAAGTACCAGTTAATTCTTTCATTGAAACGAACTATAGCCTTCTGTAGCGATCACGCAGCGAGGAGTGGTTTTATGTGACTATTCCTTGTCGGCGAGGACTTCGATCTTCGCCCACGGGATTCAACTCTGTTTCGATTTCGTTTCGGGATCAGTGAAAGAATACATAGCTCGGTATGCTCGTCATTTCGAAGGAAAGGGTCATGGAAAGTATTCAGCGAAACGCGTGAAGCGATGCAGAATCTGTTGCGATTTCTATTACTTTAATGCACTTTTTGGTGCACAGGATTACCCGACATAAAAGCTTCAAGGGTTTCAAAGCCTGGGGGAAGCAAATAAGTGGAATCCCGAAGAGGAAATAAAGGCAAATGATCATGACGGTCTTTTCGAAACAGATATCGGCAAAGGGTGCCGTAGATAGAAGGAAGTGATGAGGAGTAAGAAGTATACCTGGACTAACACTAGAAAGAAGAAGAAACTAATACGTGACCTGTACGATGACGCGGAGATACCAGCCAGCTTTTGTAAGGATTTTCATTCACTTCTGTCAAACAGATCTGATATCAATGGCCGTGGAAGAAGCTTTCTCCCATTTAAGACGAAGCATCCATTAGCATTAGACCACACACCTGGACGGCAAGTATTTTAAGTATCCAAGACAGCCCTGGCAGATGTTCTAAAGTGTAATCAAAGATATTGCTTCTCATCCCCTTACCATACAATTCATTTTTTCGAGGAATAGAGTGACTTTGCCTCCTTAACACTAGGCCATCCTCTGCAATATGAATGCTTCTGATTACATCAAGTAAGTTATAAAAAAGGGGAATAGGGAGTAGCGGAAACGTTCTGCATCAACCTGCTGCGAGATACCGTGACAATTCGACGTCTTCTTGTTCCCAATGAAGATTCTGAAGAGTTAACTCTAACCCTCAGCTCCTTTCCTATACCAGTACATAAGTTTTGGTTGGAGGTATCCAAATTTAGAACTACCTGTCCGATAGGGTTTAGATTACTTGACTCCCTCCGCGACACGGCGAGTCAAGGCTGCGCGAAATCGAATACCGCAGTATAATGAAAAATTATCACTTGGTGACAGATCCAAGGCATTGTCGCAGCAAAAAAAACCGAAAAGGGGATTTGAAAAGGATCGGTTATGCCATTGCAGTGATTAGGTCTTTTTCTTAAAGGAATTACCGAATAAGAGAATAAGAATCTGCTGCAGTGAACATGTCTGTGATAGGGGAGAGAACTGGCATCGTTGGATTCGATAATATCACCAAGTTTGAAGATTATTCAACCCCAGTATTTCCCCTTTCGTTTGTATTTCGCCCAAAATTAATCATGAAGGATTTCACTAGGCTAGCTCTGTGGCTTACACCTTTCTCAGTTATCTTTATAAGTCGATCAGATAGTTGGAACTGTACCGTCAGGCGTCAGGTGTTGATTTGTAATGTGATTTAGGAGGTATCGCCATATGGCCTCAATAGAAACAAGTTGCTTAATTTGGATCCGTTCCGTAGTGACGCCTTCTATAAACTAATGCCATTTACCTCGAGAGGGGGCAAACTTATGCTTTCTTTCCGAAAACCACTTTCAACAGGGGCGCAGGTTCTTCACGGTTCGCGCGAGCACAGAGTTCTTGAAAATGAGTAAGACTGTGCAAATGTCTTCTATATTTGTTAGCTCTAGGAAAGCGGTATTTCATTATCTCCATTGCGCCAACTAATGTGGCATGAATTTCGTTATGTAGTACACCATGTTCTATCAAACTTCGTTTTACTTTGGTTTGTTGTTAATTGTTGTTTTATTTCTACATGCTGTTAATGTGTTTGGCATGTAACAGATGGTAAATGGTATCGCAAAGTCTCGAAGGGCAGCTCGTGCAGCTCGCCCCAGCACCGAAAGCATCAAAGGCACAGATCGCAATGAAAATGGTTCCTGAAATTTCTCCATAGGATGAATTCGAGGCTCTCATGACGCCATATGTGCCGATGTCAGATCGAGAAACCTTCTGGATAGTGCACAGTGAGGGGTTAGGTATTGGATCGTACGAATGTCACACCCAAAGCGGACGAGCCTTAACGACGTAGTAGAGCCTGCACTATCTCTTAAGGGATTCCCATTTTGGAAGTTCAAACAACTTGTCATGACTCATGACGACAGTGGAAGGCATTTTCAGTCAATTTCGACTTGGTGTAGCCAACTCTTCGTGCAGTTGTAACGACTAAAATCTCTTCCAAATATCCCTTCCATGTCTACAAGCTCTAGTTACACTTCTTTTAAACCGCTTTATTTTTCGCCAGTTCGACGGATTCTCTCGATTTCTTCACCACCGATGTACCATTCCATACCAGTACTCCCGTTTTTCAGCATACAAATTGCGAACTGTGCCTTCATGGTCAAATTCACTCACACGAAAAAATAAGAATAATGCTTTATGTACTACGGCAAGGACGGAGTCCGAGGACTGGAAAGTGGAAGGTTGATGCACTACGTCTCCGACTCTCCCTAACACCATTCGCAGTAATTTTCAGACAGAAGGACTCATAGCATAGTCTAAATCAGACTTCGACTCCCATATTTTGCAGGTACTCTCGAGATCCCGAAAGCGAGATAGTTGCTCTCGAGAGTTTTGGCCATTCGAATTGTGATATTAATGGAAAAGATGTAGTATCAGCGGTCAAATCGAAAAATCAATGCTAATATAGAAGAAAACTCAACGCGTATTAACAACCCTAATGCTATAAAAGAAAATGTGAAGAGCTTATTAAGGAAGAGATGTTGTAGGGGTTTTTCAGGGGGTGGCCTAACATGATCATGTGGATATGCAGGTCACCATTCGAAGCAACGTCAAATCGAAAAATCAATGCTAATATAGAAGAAAACTCAACGCGTATTAACAACCCTAATGCTATAAAAGAAAATGTGAAGAGCTTATTAAGGAAGAGATGTTGTAGGGGTTTTTCAGGGGGTGGCCTAACATGATCATGTGGATATGCAGGTCACCATTCGAAGCAACGACATTATTCCGTAAAAACATAAATGCCTACTGGAGAGGCATCGCGTATCGTCACGCCTGCAAAGGAGGTCACTTCTTCGTAGGTTGGATTTAGAGAATGTTTTCATCGTAATCGTAATTGAATTGCATCGAATGGCAAAACCTCAGTAATGGTACACTAGCGATTTTGCTCCTCTTGGGTGGAACCCTTTCGCACGACTTCGATTCGATGAAAACGTGGCAGCAGTATTCTTTGTAGAAGCATAAGTAAAGGAAATTTCACTAGAAAGTTTTCTTACACAGTAATGTCCCAAGTACTCGTTTTATAATCTTGTCAAGCACATCCTAGCCCGCTGGATAAGGAACTTCGTTGCCCTGAATCCTGAAACTTCTACTATCCTCACCACATTAGGAGAGCCATCGTATACAGTAGATTAGAAGATGCCTGTCACTCGATTCGAATGCCGTAGACGAGGAACAAAACCGTCCACATGCATGACTCAACTGTGTGTTGCGATAATTGTGTACTTCTGTTATTATTACTGACGGGAAACCAGCAAGCTCCTTGTATTTATGCGACAAGATAAAAAAAATACATCCGCGCGAATTCCGAGCTCTGTCGTCGAACCAAGATCAGGGATGCAGTTGATTATGCCAATAAATCGAAGATCAGGTGGACCGGACACGTTATGCGATATAGT